GTAGGTGCCATTTTAAAATACTTTTTTGATAATATTTTGAAATATGTACCTGGGCACGGCTGTTTCAGAGTGAGCTTTACGGCTTCTTGTTTTTTTTTTGAAAATTTTGACTTAAGGGATATTACTAAAACATTTATAACTTTTGAAATATTAAAGATAATTTTGTTTTGTAAAAGGTATAAAAATAACAATAAAATGTTTTATCATACGATATTTAGTACAATAGTAAAAAAATTTCTTTTAGTTTATAAAAAGCGCAACAAATGATGAACTTGGTTAAATTTTAGTAATTTGTTGTTACTTTTTATCAAAAAAAAATCAGAAAAATATTTTTCTGATAGTTATTATTAAATACACTTATTGTTTAACTATTAATAAAATAAAAAAATCTTACTTAATTGTTAAAGGAAAACTAAACAGTCTTTATTAAAGTCTGCAAGCAAACCGCATTTCTTGCAAAATTATGAAAAATGTTGTTAAAGGGGGGATTAGCTGTTAAATGAGAACGTTTTTAAGTCTAGAAGTTCTTGTTTTAGAAAATAATTCACTAAGTTTATAAATTCAATGCATTTATGCACCATTCTAAAGAAAAAACCGCCTAATTTTGTTTATTTTATACTTCAAAATTCGTCTCGCTAAAAAAGTTGTTTTCATAAAATTTATTACATATTTGCTTGGGACGTACAGAATTAAAGGTAACGTGATTGTTTTAAAATGTAAACAATGTTTTGTGCATTAAACTAGAAAAGTTTGTTTGTTTTGTTTTGCGCATTAAACTAGCTAAGTTTGAAAACATATTTCATAACATAGCTAAAGGTACAGCAAACAATTATTTGATTTTTATATGCAGAAAGGGTTGAAATTTCAATAATTTACAAAAATAATACGATTTTCATTATTTAATAATAAAATTAAAAATATAAATGCATTAAAAAATAGTTAAAAAATAAAAAATAAGCAATCCGCACCAAAAATTACATAGAATAGACGTTTATTTATAAATGTTCCAAATTTCAACCATGAGGCATGTAGCTATGTTATGAAATCTTAGTTGACCCAAGACAGGTTTTCTGTAAAAACCACAAAAAACACAAAAGTGATCCCAAATCATTAGCAATATTTAAACATTAATATTTTTATTCTGTTTAATGTAAATATTTATTTTAAAAAAAAAGATAGGTCTTTTATATTTTTTTTATTTGAAGATGAAAGCGCTTATAGGAAAAAAACACTATTATTTTAAAGTTAGTGCATTTTTAAACTTTTTTTGCGGAAATACTTTTTTTTTTGATAAACACAAAAATAATTGTGGCGTCAAGCTCGCTTTTATATTGAGTGAAACAGCCGTGTGGGACAACTTTAGTAAGTTTAAAGAATTGGAAAATTAAAAATTTTTTTTTTGGTTCTACTTTCTTGAAATGAAAAAAAACATAATGCAAAGTGTAGAAAGTGTGTAAAAATTTAAAAAAATAGCAGGTGGTTGACAAGCGGTCTTTATACACATTTAAAAACCAAACATGCTGTAATATTATGAAAATGAGGTGCTATTAAACTTCTTGGTAAATCTAGTTTATAATCTGATATGCTTCCTCCGAAAATTTCTGAATATTTTAAAAACACCACAAAAACTTGCTGGCGGCTATCTTAGCTAGAATGATGAGTCTCAAAGTTCATCAGTGTAACAAATCAAGTTTTTATAACACCTGATAACCTTTGAAAACACTTGAAAATCATTGAAAACATTCAATTTAAGTGAGCTTCCTAAATCTGTCACTATACAAAATATTGTCAATAGCTATAGCGAAACTATCTGATAGTTTAAAAAAGTATCAGAACATAAATTGAATTTGTATTCACAATTATGTATTACCATACATTAACATAATTCTTCATTCTGAGTCAAATTTTTGGAATTTAGGATTTCTCTGGATTAATGGTAGTTTACCTAAAAATGCGTTGCTGCTTTAAGTGAAAAATTGAATAAGTATTGTTTGTCATTGGAAAAGTATATCATTTGGTTACTAAATGACAGTGCAGCAAATATGCAGAAAGTAGGCAAATTAAAAATCAAATTTAAAATTTATTTAAAAGTTAAATAGTTATGGCTAAATCAAATATTTATTTAAAAGTTAAGTAGTTAAAACAGTTATTATTTATTGTTGTCACTTTATCGCAAGAATGCTAACTTGTGCAGACAAAACTTTAAGTTTGTGTTTGACAGGCAGAATGAAGTCATGACGACAGACAGAATGAAATTCATGACTGAGCAAAAATAAAACTTTTTTCAAATATTGGTTTTAACAACGGTATTCCGGTATTATATTTTTATAATACTGGTATTGATTTTTTTATTACCGGTATTGATTATATAATACCTGTATTGGTTTACCATTTGATATTGGATACTCTAATAAGACATTTTTTTGTAACGATATTATGAGGGAAATCTTTTTGCAATAATTATATGTTAAATTATGTATTGTTTCCTTTTTTTTTATTTTTTTTATTTTGTATTCCATGTTTGATTTTTTTTTTGTATCCCAATACCTAGTTGCCATTGTTTAAGTTGATAAAGTTAAGTTAATTAGTTAACTTTGTCAACTTAAACAATGGCAAACAGGTATTGGGATTCAAAAAAAAATCAAACATGGAATACAAAATAAAAAAAAAAATAAAAAAAAAAAAATCTTTAGTAATTTTATAAAAAAAACTTCTTTAAATTTAGTTTTAAAATAAAGCATTGTTAAGACTGTGATTGTATCTTTCCGCTGAGAATTGTGCTTCTTTTATCATACTTTTATATTTTTTATCCTTTATTTACTTTACTTTTTCCATTCACCTTCTGATAAAGTTTTATCTGCTGAAGTTTTGCTTCCTTTAAAATATCTTAGGTTTAAGCAGGCAAGTTAAGTCTAACTCTACCCCATGGGTAAAATGTTGCTGACACACATGCGTAGAATGTGGTTGACTTGAAGCATTTCTCCTACTTGTGAAGCTACTATTTTTAATTAAAATCATTTTTTTTTATCTTTTAAAAAAAAAGCAATTCTCTGGAGTACAAACTTCTTTTCATTATTGCAAGAAATTGTTGTTGACATTACTAAGTCTTATATTTTATCACAAAAATTAGGTTCTAAAGATTTATGAAAATATTTAACAGTTTCATTAACAAAAGTATGATATTCTCATCATACATCTCACACATTTATGTATTCTTATACATGGATCTTATTACTCTGATGTCATTCTGATACTATTACTATGTCAGATAACAACAACTCACTATTTATTTTCTATAAATCATTTTACAATAGTATTAATAATAATAATAATAATAATAATAATAATAATAATAATAATATAAATAATAATACTAATAATAATTAAAATATAAGTAAAATATTTTAATTATAAAATTATAAAATAACAAAATTAATACAAATTATAGTCACAGTAATAAAAAGTATGTTTACAATGATAATAATGAATAAAAAAAAAAATTAAATAATAGTTATAGTTATAAACATAATAATATTAAATATGCTTACAATAATAACAATAACTAATAAAAAAAAAAAAAAAAATAATAGTTATAACCTTAATATTATTTATTATAATGATAAAGTTATTGATTCATTAGAATGGTGTTACTCTTACAGAAGTCTAATCAAAAAAGGGACAATATTGCAAGATGAAACAACAATGAAATTACACTAAAGGTTAAAGTAATCAACACTTTTTATTTAACTCATCTCTTAAATCTAATGACCAAACTTTTCTTATTATTCCAAAGACACAGGTTAATTCATTGTTGTTTCATCTTGCTGATGACACAAGTATTAACTTATGTCTTGACAAGAAGTTATCCCTTTTTGATCACTTAGAACAGACTGCTATTCTAAACATAATCCAACCATTATCACATTGTTGTAAAATTGCTTCATTTTCTTTTTTCTATAAATACTATAATAGACACTGCTTTAAAGAGCTAGCGTCTCTTGTACCATCTACTAAAATTCTCGTGTTATTCGTCATTCAATTAAATCTTGTCCTTTTACTAAGACTGTTCCTAAGTGCTCCAAAAATTCTTAATTTCTCTAGGTTTTTTTTATTGAACATCAGTTCTTTGGAATTCGCTTCCTTCATTTTGTTTTCCTTATTCATATAATTTCCAATCTTTTAAGTCATCTGTCAATCGTTATTTTGCTCTATAAACTTCTTCTTTTCTTTTCCAGTAACTTCCAATTCTAATAGTGGTTGCTTGCAGCCTTGTTGGAAGTGATGAAAAAAAGGCTGCCATTCTTGAATCTAATCCCTCTTGTGACAACTTAGGGCATGCAGTGGCTTGCAAATTTTAACCCAAACAAAACTCAGTTGTTTAAAGGGATCCCAAAGTGCCGAGGCAAGTTGTTTTTAGATCAAAGAGAATGATAAAAATATAATTTTAGACTGACTTTTTTTGAGTAAAACAAAATAATTAATTTATACCAAAAAAAACTAGCTTTGATGTTTTACTCGAAGCTCACTGTCTCCATGATAGCCAGTTCTTTAAATTCTTTAAAAAAATGCCGCAATATACAGGCTTTATAATTTATTCAAGCGTTTTAATTCCAAAGAGTTTTAGTATATGACATCATTGTAGGATCTTTTTTTTTTCAAAAAATTTTTTTTTTTGAATCAATATTATTTTTTTTCGTTTTATTTGTTTTTTAAAATAAGAGTTTATCATCAATTGTATGACTTTTGTTTAAATCTTATGATAAGCTAAACAAAAAAATGTTTTTTTATAGAGTGCGTAAACAAAAAAATGTTTTTTTATAGAGCACGTAAACAAAAAAATGTTTTTTTATAGAGCATGTAAACAAAAAAATGTTTTTTTATAGAGCACGTAAACAAATGAATGTTTTTTATAGAGCACGTAAACCAAAATAAAATTAAGGTTTTTATGATACACTCTTAACTATGCTGACAATAAAAAGTTTTTCGTTAAACAATTTCAA